GGCTTAGCTTACACCACAGGGCTTAGCTTACACCACAGGGATTAGCTTACACCACAGGGCTTAGCTTACACCACAGGGCTTAGCTTACACCACAGGGCTTACCTTACCACCTCCAGGCTTAGCTTACACCACAAGGCTTAGCTTACACCACAGGGCTTAGCTTACACCACCAGTCTTAGCTTACACCACAGGGCTTAGCTTACACCACAAGGCTTAGCTTACACCACAAGGCTTAGCTTACACCACAGGGCTTAGCTTGCACCACCAGTCTTAGCTTACAGCACAGGGCTTAGCTTACACCACAAGGCTTAGCTTACACCACAAGGCTTAGCTTATACCACAAGGCTTACCTTACCACCTCCAGGCTTACCTTACACCACAGGGCTTAGCTTACACCACAGGGCTTAACTTACACCACAAGGCTTAGCTTACACTACAAGGCTTAGCTTACCACCTCCAGGCTTAGCTTACACCACAGGGCTTAGCTTACACCACAAGGCTTACCTTACCACCTCCAGGCTTAGCTTACACCACAGGGCTTAGCTTACACCACAAGGCTTACCTTACCACCTCCAGGCTTAACTTACCAACACTAGGCTACCACTAATACGCTAACCACTCCCTACCACCACCACTGGGCTGGGCCTACCACCACTAGGTTTACTCTACTTACAAATGGCTATAGGCGTACCACTATTAGCCAGGACAAATTGCATAGGATACCAGACGAAGTTTACCTGTATTATCCTGTATACCAACAGTTAGCCTTACGCTATAATCAGGCTGCTGATATATACAATTCGGAATAGAAACAAGAAATGGTTTAAACCAAATTAATGTTAGCAAATTTACATATATAGTAATGCTAGAAAATAAATATTACAAATTAAAAATGACCTTAAACAATATATGTGGCTAACAGTAAATCTTAGTAATGACTAGATGATTATAAAGAACAATAAAGACTGATAAATTTGTCAAAATAAGACAGATTAAACGTGGTAGGTTAAGTTGATTTCCCGGTTGCAATTCTTTTACCATGTCGTAGCTCAGTCGATTAAGGCAGCGTCTGAGATCCTCTCGGACGTTGATTCGAACCTTCGTCACGGCCCTTGTGGATTTGTTCAAGACAGAATAAACTTTCTTTTAAGAAAAATTGAACAAATTGAACCATTTTAACAAATCATGAGACAAGGTGAGCTTTTTTCAAATTAAAGTTTAGTTTCATTCCATTCTAAATTTCTTTACTTGTAAATTAGAATAATTTTGATATATTTCAGCCTATATATTTTTATATTTGTTTTGTTCTTCAAAATCTCCTAGTCATGACAAAGACATACTGGACATCTGACATTTTTTTAAGGTAAACTAATGTTATATATAAGCCAAAGCATCGAAGCAAGCCGAATTTTCCAGATTTTGTTTTTGACAAAAAAACATATTCGCAGGACCTAAACACACGCACAATCACGAATCTATGTGCAGATAGATTAGTAATTCGTGTGTGCGTGTGTGTTTTTAGGTCCTCTGTGTGTGTGTGTGTTTAGGTCCTGTGTTTATGTATGCTTAGGTCCTGTGTTTGCGTGTGTTTTTGGTCCTATACGTACGTGTGTTCAGGTCCTGTGTTTGCGTATTTTTAAGTCCTGTGTGTGTGCGTGTTTAGGTCCTGTGCCTGTGTATGTTTAGGCCACTATGTGTGTGTGTGTGTGCGCGTGTGTGTGTGTGTGTGTGTGTGTGTGTGTGTGTGTGTGTGTGTGTGTGTGTGTGTGTGTGTGTGTGTGTGTGTGTGTGTGTGTGTGTGTGTATGTGTGTATTGAAACATTTAGATTACAAATGTAAAAAAGAGAAAACGTGTGTGGAAGATTGCAAACGCGCATTTGTTTGTGAATGAGTTTTATCAGATGCTTCAGTGAGGGGTGTTTGTGTTTTACGAAAAGCTTTGAGTGTTTTTCTCCCACGGGTTTGAGTATTTTATCATATGCTTTATGTGTGTTTTTTTTCCTACCAATTGATGCGTTATCGGATGCTGCGTTGTGTTGTGTTTTATCGGAGGCTTTTGGTGAGTGTGTGTGTTTTAGTTCAATTAATATTTTGTGTATACATTTTGTGCTTGCAGGATCGAACTTTTCCCCGCCTTTCCAACCCTCGGTTGTCTAATGTACTGACTCCGGATCTGTTTTCTTCTATAATATCTACTATATATTTCTCAGATATTTGTACCTGCAGGATCTTAACTCTTGGACCCAGCTTTCTAGCCTCCGGTTCTCTAAAGCAATGATTCCGGGGCTATTTTTTTGTATCATCTAGTTCTAAAATTATAAATGTAGTTTGCTTATTTAACTCTGTCAATCCCCCTAAATTTTTCATGTCTCTATCATGTCTCCCCTCTCTCCTTTTTTTTCTAGAGTCGTCAGGTTTAATGCCTTCGACCTCTTTACATGTCCTATCCCCTCGCAATTCTGGGACGAGCTTCATACTCTAAGACCGGTCTCACGTAGGTGGTGACCAGCGATTTAAATGCCTCCTCATTAAGGTTCCTGAATGATGATTTGACTTTTGTTAGTGTGGAGTACGCCACTGACGTTACCTTATTTATATGAGTCTCCGGAGTTAGATTCGGTGTTACGTCTATTCCCAGTTACGCAAGTACTAACGAACGTGTACATCTTTCCTCAATCTTTGACGGCTTTGGTCACATTTATTAAACAGTTTACAAGCATGAAAACTTTCCAATCAACTGTTGTTATTGTTATAAACAGCCTCCTGGTGCTTCGGAGCTCATTTACTGTTTAATAATTGTAAACAAAGCCGCCCAAAATTTTGAATAGATGTACAGGTTCGTAAGTGCTTCGTGAATCTGGCCCCCCCAGGCCTTTTTCTAGAATCGTCACAGAATATATATATATATATATATATATATATATATATATATATATATATATATATATATATATATATATATATATATATATATATATATATGGCTCAACTCCTGTAGATAGGTCATTTACGTATATGTGAAATAGAATCGGCTCCAGCACCGATCCTTGAGGTACTCCACTTGTTACTGTTCGCCAGTCCGGCTCCTCGCCCCCCTTACCGTTACTCTCTGGCTCCTTCCGGTTAGGTAACTCCTTACCCATGTTTGTATAGTAGGAACATAGTATAGTTTGTATAGTGCCTCTCGAGTTTGTATAGTAGTTTCTTGTGAGGTGCTGTGTCTAAAAGGCGCGTGAGTGTGTATGTATGCTTGTTCCAATGCTTGTTGTGTATGCTTGTTCCAATGCTTGTTGAGTATGCTTGTTCCAATGCTTGTTGAGTATGCTTGTTCCAATGCTTGTTGAGTATGCTTGTTCCAATGCTTGTTGTGTATGCTTGTACCAATGCTTGTTGTGTATGCTTGTTCCAATGCTTGTTGTGTATGCTTGTTCCAATGCTTGTTTTATCAGATGCTTTCGTGGGTGTATTTGCTATTTGTCTTTGCAGAATCGAGCTTTTTAGCTCTTGGATTCCGCCTTTCTAACCAATCTATTTTTCCTCTATTATATCAACTACATATATTTCTCTCTAACACACGCACACACATCCATAGGAAGCAGCTGTCTAACTCCCAGGTACCTATTTACTGCTAGGTGAACAGGTGCATCAGGGTGAAAAAAAACTCTGCCCATTTGTTTCCGCCTCAGCCGGGAAACGAACCCAGGCCATTAAGACTACGATCCCCCCCCCCCCACGAACGCTGTCCACTCAGCCGCGAGGCCCCCTTGTGTGTGTGTGTGTGTGTGTGTGTGTGTTTTATCGAATGCTTTGGTACGTGTGTATGTGTGCATGATTTATTCAATGCTTGCTTTGCGTGTTTGTTTTATTAGATGCTATGGTTCGTGAGTATTTCTAGTTCCAAGAGAAGAATTGTTCCGACGGGAGACCTATGTACGTTGCATATTAATATAATTATTGCTTTAAATATTTCAAAGGATTTAGCACGTCTACCTTCGGCTCAAGATATTTCCATCGTCCACTACTCTGCTGATTAAAAAAATATATCCTGTTATCCTTTCGACAACTTTTAAATTATAATTTAATTTTAGTAATTTAATTAAATTGTGCGTGTATGTGAGTGTGTGTACTCACCTACTTGTGCTTGCGGGGGTTGAGCTCTGGCTCTATGGTCCCGCCTCTCAACTGTCAATCAACTGGTGTACAGATTCCTATTGGGCTCTATCTTATCTACATTTGAAACTGTGTATGGAGTCAGCCTCCACCACATCACTGCATTCCACCTGTTAACTACTCTGACACTAAAAATGTTCTTCCTAACGTCCCTGTGGCTCATTTGGGTACTCAGTTTCCACCTGTGTCCCCTTGTTCGCGTACTACCCGTGTTTAACATTTTATAATTTATCTAACCTGTCAATTCCTGAGAATTGTATAGGTAGTGATCATGTCTCCTGAAAGTCTTTAGTCTTCCAGTGTAAGTGTTTGTTTGTGTGTGCTTTACTAACAGCTCTGGTCTGTGTGTGTGTGTGTGTGTGTGTGTGTGTGTGTGTGTGTGTGTGTGTGTGTGTGTGTGTGTGTGTGTGTGTGTGTGTGTGTGTGGGTGTTTTAACAGTTGTTTTGGTGCATTTGTGCTGTGTCATATTTGCGTATGTTTGCGTATACAAGCGCCAAGGAGAGTGAGTATGCAAATATTCATATATTTATGTATATACGTGCTCTTATATATGATCGTGTATATGTATGAATGTATGTTCATTTTATATCTATGCATGCATTTGTTCAAACAGGCTTGTGCACATAAGGGAATGCTTGTATGTATGTGTGTGTGTGTGTGTGTGTGTGTGTGTGTGTGTGTGTGTGTGTGTGTGTGTGTGTGTGTGTGTGTGTATGTGTGTGTGTGTGGGTGTGTGTGTGAGCGTGCGTGTGCGTGCATCCATACGCCAGCGAGGGCTCCCAGCGCAACACAATAGTACTCATGGGTACTGTGAGGAAGAAGTATTTACCTGGATATAATTTGTACAGATAGTGGCAGCGTCAGCGTCAGCAGCAACAGCAGCGAGGATCAGTATTCTAAAGTTTTGTAATATCCTGAGTTACACAGGTAGGTGGTTGATAGTCTTGAGCCGATGATGTAGATGGGGTCAAAAAACCCTTCTTCTTCACCTCCTCCTCCTCCTCCTCCTCCCCCCCGAAGAACAAAAAAAAAGTAATAATTAAAAAAAAAAACTTGAAACCAGACTTTCTTCACCAGACTTCCAAAAAAAAAATATATATATATATTTCTTAAAACTCTAAAAAAAAGACGCTTCACTGAGGTGGTCTTGTACACTCTCTACACACCAACACTTCTCCTTTTAGGTCACAGGTAAAACTGATAGATTTCAGAGGCATCGCTCAGGGCGGTGAAGGACTGACTTGCTCCTCCCTGTGTGTGTGTGTGTGCCACCACCACCACCAGCACCAGCCCCCCGCCACACACACTTTGCACCAGCGTGTATGTGCGTGCGCGCCTGTGTCGCCACCCACTCTCTTTTTTTTAAGTCACACCCATGACTTCTACGGGATACGGAGTGTTTGCGCGGGACGGGAGCGGTCCCCTCGCTCAGACTGTCATCTCAGCACTAACTTCACTCGCGCCGAGTTACCAGGTTTGCAACCCTCTGCCACCCCCCCCCCCCAGAGTTGCCAGTTCGCAGCATTTTGCACTCGCGTTTCAATTGGAAACCCAAAAAATTGCCCGGCGTCTACTCTGATATATATTCGTATAATATATATTTTCACCATTAGTTCCCATGAGACAAGGATATATACATAGACTAGATATCTTATATCTCAAATTAATGTGTCTATATACAATATATATTTACTTGGATACAGGAATCTATACTCGAGCGAGGAAGGTCTCAAATGGCAGCTTAAGTTCGTAATTCATTGTAAAAATAATGTTTGAAGGGAATTACGCGAAACATGACGACACGTTTCCGCTAATATACCTCTGAACTTTGCGTTATTAGTTGTACTTAAGGGATAACGAGGCGATTAAGTAGTGTTGCGACCCCCAATCATCACCACCTTACGGTCACTAACTATCTTGGACTGCATCTTGGGATGGCTACAATAAGGATCTTTACTTGAGTCGCATTCAGGGTAATTTCAACAATTTGGCTTACTGGTCAAAGATTACAGTTTACAAATAGTTTACAGTTTACAGATTACAAAGATAAAGTGTATAAACGATTAGTTTGGGGTCAAGAGACTAACTTACAATCAATGTCGTAAGACCCCCTCACGTCTCTTACTGATCTTGACCTTAGAGTTTCGTAATGTATTTTGATAGCTTCCACATTTGTAAGAATTTCTTAAGATATATTTCTATGTTACTGTTGAGGGCTCTTCAAGGCAGGTGGAACAGGTTGAAACTTGATTAGCGGCAGGGTAAGTAAACTTAACCTTAGGTAAACTTAACTCTTAGGTAAACTTTTATAATGTGAATACCTTTAAATCAGCCATTGGATTGCATCTATTTGTGTACAAACGTATGCAACTGTTAGACGCGTTTAAGGTGAACAGTATTATGTTGGACATTATAATACTTGTAGCCTAGCTGGCAGTTGTGCGAATCATTTATAACTTCATAACTTAACTACAACTTAAGTTGTAGGATTCACTTTTAACTTTACCACCGCTATAAGTGTCCTGAAACTAAATAGATGTGTAGGCCAATTCCAATATCTATGGAGTCAAATTGCAATGTTTTTCTAAGTAAAGATGTTTTATCAAGCTGTTGTAACAAGCTTATAATGGGGGCTGGTGGCTGACTGGACAGCACGCTGGATACGTGATCCTGTGGTCCCGGGTTCGATTCCCGGCGCCGGCGAGAAACAATGGGTAGAGTTTCATTCACCCTAATGCCCGTCTTACCTAGCAGTAAAGAGGTACCTGGGAGTTAGTCAGCTGTCACGGGCTGCTTCCTGGGATGTGTGTGTGTGTGGTATGGAAAAAAAAGAAAAACAAGTAGAAACAGTTGATTGACAGTTGAGAGGCGGGCCGAAAGAGCAGAGCTCAACCCCCGTAAGCACAACTAGGCGAACACAACTAGGTGAATACTGGGCTTCAGAGGGGGGGGGAGGGAGAATGAATTTGCCATTAAAACAGCGTAAACAAGAGTTCGGATTTACAGTCAGGCATTCCAATCAATAAAATGGGCAAGTCTACTAAATAAGTGAACATTGTTAATTAATAAAGATAATTGTTTGTCAGTCCAGTTGGTCTATGTGTACTCTCTGGGTTACGAGGGTGTCTGAAAAAAAAAGTACAATAATTACACTTGAAATAGTATGAGAATAAATGAAGGCTGTCCAGCGCTCTTGCTATGGCGGCACTGGCAACTAAAACCCGGTATTTCTTGATCCTTATCCGCAAGTCTAGTACCCTCAAGGAAACTAATCTTGACTCTGTACTGGATATCTCTCAGAATTCACTTGATTCATTTGCTTTATTCTGCATGATATCGTTCAGCCTCTTCTCTTACTGACAGCAAAACCGCTTAACCGAAACGTCGCCAGCTGGGGAGCTCTCTACACAAAAGCATATCCACATGTTGGGAATTATTGAATAGACAACAACAGCAAGAAATTGGTCGGTGGTCGTGCGTGTGGCAGCGCGGGCTGAAGGCCTTGCAGACGAGGCTACTCTGTATAGTAGCATGCAGGACACTCATCCATTTAGCAGTGGCACCCCCAGAGTGGCACCTACAGTGGCACCCACACGTGCAGCTGGTGTGGTTTGGTGAGCTGCGCATGACAGGACAAGCAAGCAAGCACTCAAGTCATACCTTCCTGTCAAACGCTATGTGTTTAAAGCACAGCGCTACAAAGCCATCAGTGAATACAATTTAAAAATTCAAGAGCACAATTGGTACATTTTGTGTCAGCAGTTAGACCCAATAATTAGTAATTAATTATTAAAAGGAAGCGCTAAGCCATTGTAGCAATTTAAATAGTAAAATAGGCAAATATATAATAAAATAATTAATGACGGGTTTGGCGTATTTCATTTGGATTCCACATCATGCTGTCCTCCGAATGCATGTTAGAACTAATAAGTTGGCCAAAGCATTAGCTTTTAATAAAGGAGTAATGGACTATAATATTTACATTGTCTAACGCAACCCCCTCCCCCCCCAAAAAAAAAATTAATACACCAGTAAATTCAACAAAACGTATAATAGACGTTTTGGATGAAGTATAATGTACACTTTATTCCATCTAACATGCCATTACCAGGATGAGCTGCAGGAATACATATTCCATCACACTCGAAGCTTTACTACAGCTCAGCTTAGTCTCAGCCACAAGCATCTTGGCGTCTGCATCCTCTCTGTGGATGTAGATTTAGCCAAATATATAAACTGTGAAAGGAAACTCTCCAGTGCCGTGAAGACAATACGCAACTCCCTGTCCCCACTACACCATGTGATGAATTGTCAACAAATTCAAGAATTCCAAGATGATTATCACAAAGGTCCAAAAATTGCCGGAATATTTAATTCAAAGGAATTTACCATCAGCCATTTTTTTGTTTTAAATTTTGCCCCGAGAGGCGAGTTCCGAGTCAAATATCCCACATTAGGCTAGTGTGGACAGTACATTCACATGACGGTAACCATTGCACCAGCGTCCGAAGGACAGGTATTATCAGTAGGCCTACAACGCGAAGACCTTTAAAACAACCGAATGAATAAAAATATATATTAAATCTAAAAGAAAATATAACCAGCTAAGAGTACAAGATGCAACCTTAAAGTTGTCGTACTGGAGTGGGCGCGCGCGGCAGCGACCGGGGGAGTAGGGTCCCTCCAGAGAGGTGGATGGCGGCCGACGTGTGTGTGTGTGTGTGTGTGTGTGTGTGTGTGTGTGTGTGTGTGTGTGTGTGTGTGTGTGTGTGTGTGTGTGTGTGTGTGTGTGTGTGTGTGTAGGGGCCCCCAGCACCTGCTTGGGGGGGCCCTGCTCCTGCTCCCACCCATAATGCTGGCCCACAGCTCCACCCACTCCCCATGTTCCAATGTTCCTGTGTGTGGAACAACGGTGGAGGGGCGCGGGAGGGAGGGAGAGAGAGAGTGAGAGGGAGGGAGGGAGGGAGGGCCATCTGACGGTAGTACGTAGTAAAGAGAGACGCCGCGGAGCCTGAATCAATAGTGATGAGAGCATAGGTGTTGTGTAACCTCCTTAACTCCTTCTACCTTCCTTCCTTTACTGTTTGCTACCTCCTGCCTTTACTGTTCCTTCCCTCCTTTCTTTACTGTTTGTTACCTCCTCCCTTACTGTTAGCCCCCTCTCCGCACCTACACCATACCTCCCCTACCCTCCAACACACTCCCTTCACACACTCTTACGTTATCACTCCCCTCCCTATCTCCCCCCCCCCTCCCAACACTATCACTTCCCTCCCCCACACTCCCCACTTACTCCCTCCCTACCCTCAACCGCCCCCCTACTTGTACAGCAATCTAGAAGGATTGCTCAGTACTCTTCATGTGTAAATAATCACGAAGAATTTTATATGAGGTACATCATCATATTTTATATGGTACATCAAGAACAGGCACGGTACACCAAGAACAGGCACGGTACACCAAGAACAGGCACGGTACACCAAGAACAAGCAGGGTACACCAAGAACAGGCACGGTACACCAAGAACAGGCACGGTACACCAAGAACAGGCACGGTACACCAAGAACAAGCAGGGTACACCAAGAACAGGCAGGGTACACCAAGAACAGGCACGGTACACCAAGAACAGGCACGGTACACCAAGAACAGGCACGGTACACCAAGAACAGGCACGGTACACCAAGAACAGAAATGGTACATCAATGACAGGCACGGTACATCAATGACAGAAATGGTACATCAATGACAGGCACGGTACACCAAGAACAGAAATGGTACATCAATGACAGGCACGGTACACCAAGAACAGAAATGGTACATCAATGACAGGCACGGTACATCAATGACAGAAATGGTACATCAATGACAGGCACGGTACACCAAGAACAGAAATGGTACATCAATGACAGGCACGGTACACCAAGAACAGGTACGGTATATCAATAAGAGGTACACTAAACCAAGAACAGGCAGGGTACACCAAGAACAGGCACAGTACATCAAGAACAGGCAGGGTACACCAAGAACAGGCAGGGTACACTAAGAACAGGCAGGGAACACCAAGAACAGGCAGGGTACACCAAGAATAGGCAGGGTACACCAAGAACAGGCAGGGTACACCAAAAACAGGCAGGGTACACCAAGAACAGGCAGGGTACACTAAGAACAGGCAGGGTACACCAAGAACAGGCAGGGTACACCAAGAATAGGCAGGGTACACCAAGAACAGGCAGGGTACACCAAGAACAGGCAGGGTACATCAAGAACAGGCAGGGTACACCAAGAACAGGCAGGGTACACCAAGAACAGGCAGGGTACATCAAGAACAGGCAGGGTACACCAAGAACAGGCAGAGTACACCAAGAACAGGCAGGGTACATCAAGAACAGGCAGGGTACACCGAGAACAGGCAGAGTACACCAAGAACAGGCAGGGTACACCAA